TTATTTATATGCGAAGTAAGTTTATAGGAATAGTTAGGCTATAATATAGTTTTTAGTGTGTAAAAGTAGGTGTTTTGTTTTTGCTGTAAATAGTTTTTATATCGTAGGTCAAAACTTGATATAATTCTATATTTATAGTATTTATATTTGTATTAAACGATTTATCAATTTGAAAATAACCTTAATTAAGTTAACATTCATTGTTTAAGTTTCATTAGATAAGTTTTTATATATGTTTTTTTTGTAAGTTTGAGTTTTGTTCATAAATGATGTGGCATTTTTATTTACGGCGTCATCGACTGTGGAAATCCATTCGCCGGAGTCTGAAATCGGTGGTGAGGAATGTTTTCAATGAAATTATAGTAGTTATTAAAATGTAAGAGAAATTACATATTCATTAAATAAATAACGGAAATAATTAATTTTTGTTTTTTTTTATTTTATCTCACATACAAATTTTTTGAAAATATATATTAGGAAATATGTGCAATGATTTCACTTTTTGAGCTCTTAATCTATATTATTCAAGCCTCATTAAGCCATCCACGTAGGTAGACGCGTGAGATTCATTTTTTTTGGTCGGTTCGTTTTTGGATTCATTTTTTATTATTTTTGGGTTGAACTATATTATAATAGGATAGTTTTAAGGCTCTTTAAGCCATCCGCGTAGGCAACCGCGTGAGATTTGCTTTTTTTTTTTTTTTTTTTTATTGTTCGTTTTTGCATCCATTTTTAACTATTTTTAGTTTGAACTCGTTAAGCTTTAAGGTTTATCCAACTATTTTGATCTTTAAAACAATAAGTCATAAAAAAAAACATAAAAACCTTACAAACAAAAAGCCCATATGATAATAACCCAAATAAAAAAATCAAAAATAAATGTTGGCTGCGTGGTTTGAACCCACAACCTTGCATGCTTAATTAGACACCTTATACCACTTGGCTAAAGTGTATTTCATTGTTTGTAATCATCTTACCAAGACTATAAGTTTTTAAAAAAATACCTATAGGACCCACAAAACTGCTGACGTGGCGCGTTGTGGAGCCTAGAAAGTGTACTATTATAATATAGATTCCAAAATAGATTTTGAAATAAAAATTACTTTAACTCAATTTCTGAAATTTATCAGGGACTACGTTAGAATTTTTTAGAGACTATCAAAATTTGGTGATAGAAACCAAACAAAATGGTAAACTTAAACTAAGACAAAGACGTCATATTAGGAAAAAAAAATGTCACTTTTATTGAGTTATGGAAGTTGGCAGGATCCTAAAAATATTATTTTCATGGAGTTATGGAAGTTACAAGTATTTTGGAAATATTCCTAATAGATTTATGGAAAGAGACGAATGCCCTAATTCAACTAGGTTAACCTAATATACTCCTACTATATAAGAGGATCTCGGGTGTTCTTTTGTCTTTCCTTCAAGTAAGCTAATTGGAGGCTTGAGAGAGAGAGAGAGATACTAGATTTTTGTACTTAAGATTATAGTGAATTGCTTCTTTGTCAAGTCATGGGCCTAGTCAATCTAGGTGAACCCTGGGTAACAAATACATGTGTCTATCTTCTATCTTTTCTGCATTTTTCTTCCTATCTTCATTATTCTACAAACTCAAACTTTCTTACTTATGTCGTCGAGTTCGTCAGAAAGTGTATCAACGAGTTTTGTGTTTGATAATGGTTCCTGAATTAAACAGTTTTTGTTGTTGTGGTTCAACATCTATCTATTTTTTTAATATTTAATAGAGTAAACAAAAAGTTATTCCATAAACGAAGTAATACTTTTATTTTTGTTTTTATTTTATTTTCATTTTAAAATGGTGTAAAATTAGAATAAAACTCAACTTGATCATGGAATTATTTTATTTTGGAAAAAGAATAATAAACTCTTCAGCCTTTTATATGACCATATTAATAAAAAATTTATTATCGAAGAATAACACCCTGACTGTTCCGAGACACAAATGTTGAACTAATTATAAGATTTAAAATTAAAGAGAATAAATTGAAAGATTGGGAAGATTAGAGAAATTATAGAGAGATTTAGATGGAGAAAATAATGTTCGAAAATACGCTAGGCGTTACGCGTGCGGAAGGAAAGCGCCTAGCGCCGAATCATTTAGGCGGAGATTAATCGGGGAGTAGTTTTATCGCATTAATATACGTTTCTTGCATTTATACATTAGATTTGTGCTTGTAAACTAATAATGACATTGGGTGTATTGGGTCAGCGTTTTTTATTAGTCTTCGGGGTCATGGGTTCGAGCCAGAAGGTTTTCTTTGTCTATTTACAGTAGAACCTCTATAAATTAATACTCGATAAATTAATAATCTCTATAAATTAATAAATTTTACTGGTCCCAACTTGAACCGTTGTAAAATATGACACAAATCGATAAAATAATAAGATAATAATATTTTCAAAATTGCCATGTAAATATATAGTCCCATTAAAATTATAAATTAATAATCTATCTATAAATAATTTTATATAATACAATATACCATTATATTGTTGGATTTATATTTACAGTAAAAATACTTTTATTTTTTTAACATTTCATTATATTTTGATAATATTTAGTCAAATTATATCGGAAACCACGTAACAATTCTATGAAACATAAAAATATACACTAAATAAGATAATAAAATAATATAAAAGTCGAAATTCTAAAATTTAAATACGGTACATACGTTAAAATCAAATAATTTGTTTTATTTTAAAAATAAAAATGGAAAAAATCTAAATAAGGAAACTTTTGTAAATTAATATCTCTATAAATTAATAAAATTTCAAAGTCCCAACATTATTAATTTATAGAGGTTTTACTGTACTTAGGTTTTAGGTTAAATGAAATCAAATTACCAAAATAACCTCATCTCCTACCTTTTGATCTGTGAAATCTCAGTCACAACTAAAGCCGCCACACCTTTTTTTTGCGATTTCCATGTTTTTTTGTTGATAATATTATAGGTTTTGATCAGTATATAACAAATCTAATAAGAAATACTGAATTTCAGACTTGAAAGTTACAAAATAATAACTTATTCAACTTTTCCGAGTAACTGACCGCGTAAGCCCAAATCGCGACGGCACTGGGACGCAACGCGATTTTCCGGCGATTATCCGGCCGCCCAACCTGCGTTTTCGAACAGAATATACTCCCCTGATTTTTCATGTCTACAATAAAATCTTCTTATATTATAGCCACATAAAAGAGATAAGGGTATAAAGAGATCTATTTTGGACCATAGTGAACAGTGTTCACAAAATATCTAAACCTAAAGTGTTCAAAACATAAAATTTCATTTTCAGCAGTTTAAGCCGGTAGGCAACCTTCTTTTCTCTCAACTCTGTTTTGTTCCCTATAGTATCAAAGTACTTAATACTACTTTCTCATATTGAGCACTTTGATATCGTAGATAAACTTCATCTCTTCATTATTTCAACACTACTTACAGACTAATATGGTCAAGTAACACAACTCTGTCCATTTTTGTGTGATTGTAAGACGTATAAAAATTTGTTCTAGGTAATAAAACATTAATTTTCATACGGACACCAAAATAAACACAACAAAAAAGTGCTGTACATATACTCATCTGGTTATATCAGAACTTGAATTGATAGATTGCTTCAGTCAGTAATCTCTCTTAGTTTGAATTATTGAACTTATCAACCCAAATAGAAGAAAAACAAATGACGGAAAGAGATAGGAATAAGGAATCCCAAACCTTTCAACCAGAATACCTTTTCAAAGCTGGATAGTGATTTTGTAGAAATAATAAATGAGCGTTCCTATGTTAAAGATTCGTCACCATACAAAAATTATTAACCTTTTGACTTTGAGGGTTTTAGGTCTCAATTGGTATAGCAGATGATAAAGAATTAGAATTAATATGTTGTAGAAGTTGTATACTTTGATCACCATTTTGAGATACGCCAGTTTCTCTATATCTTCTTCTGTGATATTGTCTTTGTGTTTGATCACTTCTCTCATCTCGGCTTCCACTTTTTTCATAACTCTTGGGTTTGTAATTAAATGTGTCATAACCCATGTTGCAGTGTGAGCAGAAGTGTCTATTCCACCGGAAAGAATATTCTGTAATAAGTAATAACAAAACAAATTAGAAAATGATATTTTAAAATGGTGTTTTAATTTTAAAATTTTTTCATTACTTACCCGAAGAATTCCTTTAGTGTGGTTTCGATTAAGTTGAAACTCTCCAAGTCCAGTCACTCCCCTTTCCATTTTGAGGAGCAAGTGAATGATATCATCTTTAGTACCCTCATCATGCAAATGTTGTTGTATAGCTTGATCAAAAAACGTATCCACTGCTTTAAAAACCTTCTCACATTTGCTATGTAACCCAGTGAGCCTATCGATTAACCCACCAAAAATTGGGAAGAAATCAGCTGCTGCGAAACTCCCGCCAACCTCCATAATCCCTTGAATGACTTTGTCATAAGTATTCTCAAGGTTACTCCCTTCAAGAGTTATCCCAAATCCAAGTCTACAAATCACATTTGCTGACAATTTCATAAGCTTGAGGTTGAAGTTAACCTGTTTCTCCAATGAGGCAGATTGTTTGATGAAATCGACGAAAGAGGCAACTTCTTCTTGTCTGATATATATGTCTAATTGACTTCACCATTTTCGCAGTGTAGAGTTCGACAACAGTCATCTTTCGCAGTTCCCTCCAATATTTTCTATACAGAGAAAAGGCGAGATCTTTGCGATTGTATGTAAGCCTTGCAACGTAAGTCATATAAGGTCGTGAACAACAATCAACGTTGAACGTTTTCAAGAACTCTTTTACTGTCTCTGGAGTTGACTCCACAACGGCATACACATTTCCGAACTTGAGGGAGATTAGAGATCCATATTTTTCGGATAATTTGAACATGGACGGTGAGGTTTTGATCCCAACTGGTGCAAGTTTCCAATTATAGGAAGTTTTGGTGGTCCAGGAGGTAGATTTCTCTTTGTCATTCTTGTGTTCTTTGCAATGAATATAGAAGCAAAGAAGACGAATGCAACAATGATATACAACATACTCATTTTGTTTCCTACCAACTCAAATAAAAATGATACTTTATACGAATTTATAATTGATAATTTTAAAAGAAATACAAGTAGCGATTTTAAAAGTAACTGGATGAAGCGAAATTGTATATCTAAAACCGAACAAGTAAAAAATCATTTACTTACTAACTCGATCAAATGGAAAATAGCTTATATCAGTGAAAATGGAAATTGTAGATAAACGAGAAGTTAGCCAAGAGATAAACTTTTAGGTTACCTAAAAAAAATCTAAAAAATAACAGGTATAAATCTGGTTAAGAGATTTTTTTCTTTCGAAGAAAAAAATCAATTTAAGATAGAGTGAGTTTTGATTTAAGAATAGTTACATGCCTAAAAAACTAAAACCTCCTAACCTTTTTAAAAACAACTGGAACGGCTGTAGATAACTTCACCCGAGATGCTGGTTAGCGACGTAGGTTAGCTGACGGAATCTTGCTGTGAGAATGATAATGTTACAGATTGGTAAAGAAAATATCATCAAATAAGAGGCAGTGGAGAAGATGAAGATGGAAGAGAAGGAGGAGAAGAAGAATCAGAGGCTTTATGGATTAGGCGATTTGGAATTTATTTGTCGAACTAAATTAGGAAGAGGAACGGTGGGAGATGAAACAAAATCATCAAAAGGATTATTTCAGAAAAGAAAGAGTGATTTCCAGGGAGTAGTAGTGCCGAAGTCGATCATCACCATCGTTAATGTCAAAGAAGGCTAGAGTTGACGATGTGGATTTTAGATGGGCCAGTGATGAAAATAATGAACCCAAAGGAATGACCCGTTTAAGATCCGGTCAATAGAAGCTTAGGTGACATCAGTGGTGACCCGGGTTAGGGGTGTCAGCCCAGGTAAAATACCACAAGAGCTAACGAAATTTAGTTATTCAAATTTAACATACCACATTTTTATAATTTAAGATGTGCCTCTAGGTGACATGTCAAATTGAAAATTTTTCATTGGTTGATTAAATTTGATAATGTGACTATTCACATTATCAAATTTAATCAACCAATGAAAAATTTTCAATTTGACATGTCACCTAGAGTCACATTATCAAATTTTAATCAACCAATGAAAAAATTTCAATTTGACATGTCACCTAGAGGCACATCTTAAATTAGTTTATAATTATTAGTTAACTAATCATTAATTATTTTTAGATTATTTACTAACCAATCTTACCATAAATTTAATAAATTATTCTCTAACCGAAGATTCTCTAATCAATTTTTACAATAAAATTGAACAGATTTATTTAAAATTTGACATACAAACTTTAAATAGTATTATATTCATGTGTAAATTATTATTTCACTTCACATACAAAATATAAACTATAAATATTAAAACGCATAAAGTTATTTTTCAAAAAAAAATGTTAAATAATTTGATGATTAATATTATTCACACATATGTATTTAAATTATAAGAATATAATAACTAAATTTTAAAATTTAAGTTTTTCTCAGTAATAAACATAGAAGAAAATTTATTTGTATTATAAGAAACCTTAGAGACATATGTATATATCTATTTTATGAAAATAAAAGTGAATTTTATTTGACCTCAACTTTTTTTTTATTTTGGCAAGATAGATTTATTAATATACATAAAAATACTAACTGGTTTTAATTTATAAATAAATACATAAAACTGGTTTATGTAACTAAATATTACTAATTAATGAATATGTTATATAACATATCATTTTTATGGGTTTAATATCCCACCACAATATGAACAACCAACAAATTACATAGAATTAAAAACCAACGATCTATCACAAATATTAAATCGTACAAATCGATAACAAACACTCTATTTTGGTAACCAGTGGCGGTAGCCCAATGACACTTGAGGGAATAAACCCAATAAGACGAACCCGGGTTCAAATCCCATTGGCCACACGGATATGGATTATTGCTTTCGATCCATATGAATGCCCAGGAGAGGGTCTATTCGTGGGCTGTACCTCCACCCGGGGTTAGGTATGTGTCTTTAATAGACCCGGGTTTAACTCTTTTTAAGTAAAAAAAAAAATCGATAAAAAACACCCATGCATGTCTGTACTTCCATTACATTCTTGTGTAGTGAAAAAAATATATATGTTTATTCTATTAAAATAAACACTCGGTGCGGATGCACGGATAAAGCTCTTGTATTTTACTCCTTCTGTTTCATTTTTTTTAGTTATTCTTTAAAGTTTATACACATAAATTAAAAAAATATTTAATTTTTCATGTTTTCTAAATAAAAACATCATTATTTATTAACCAAACTAAATATCAACCAATAAAAAACTAGAATATCATATAAAATTAATAAAATTTGTATTAAAAGTATAAAATTACTTTTATTTTGAAACGAAACTTTTACTCTACAAGGACAACTATATTGAAACGGAGAGGGAGTATTATTATTGATAATGATAAGATTCAAGATACTTTCAAATGTTACATCTTGAACAGCGAATATATAGAGATTCTTAAGTCCACTTGGTAATGACCGGGATAAGCTCAAGCGGAACTTTCTTAGGACAGACAAGCCCATATGATTCTTTAAGATCAACGTCTTTTGCATCCATTCCATCTGGGAGCTTCCAATCGAAACGGTAAAGGAGATTAATAAGAGTCAAGTGTACCAAAGCCATACCCATACCCATACCAGGGCACATCCTCCTTCCACTCCCAAACGGCAACAACTCAAAGTTTAGACCTCTATAGTCAACCTCCTTGTCAAGAAACCTCTCGGGAATGAAAGCTTCTGGATCTTTCCAAACGTTTGGGCTCATGTGAATAGCCCATACATTGACATGGATCCATGTCTTCTTTGGAATGTCGTAACCTCCCATCTTTACATCTTTCATAACCTCTCTTGGGACTAGAATTGGCACAAGTGGGTTTATCCTAAATGTTTCTTTAATCACTAGTTTTAGATACCCGAGTCGTTCCATATCTTCTTCTGTGATATTGTCTTTGTTTTTGATCACTTCCCTCACCTCTTCTTGCACTTTCTGTAGAACCCTTGGGTTTGCAATCAAATGTGTCATCACCCATGTTATAGTGTGGGCAGAAGTATCTATTCCAGCAACAAGAATATTCTGTAAAAAACATATAAGACAAGATTCAAACTTATACAATATGCTAAGAACCAAGTTATATTGATTGAAAAATTTCCATTACTTACCATAAGAATTCCTTTAGTGTGGTTTCGTGTAAGTCGAAATTCCCCAAGTCCAATCTCCCCTCGTTCCATCTTGAGGAGCACGGCAATGATATCATCCTTAAGGCTCTCATCTTCTAGGTGATGCTTAATCGACTGATCAAAAAATGAATCCATTGCTTTAAAAACCTTCTCACATTTTCTATGTAACCCGGTGATTCTATCGATTAATCTACCAATGACCGGGAAGTAATCTGCTGCAGCAAAACTCCCCAACACCTCCATGGTTCCTTGAATGACTTCCTCATAAGTATTCTCGAGTTTGCTCCCTTTAAGATTTATCCCAAACCCAACTCTACAAATCACACTTCCAGACAGCTTCATTAACATCTGGTTAAGGTTAACTAGATTCTCTGATGAAGCGGACTGTTTCAAGAAATCAACAAAGGAGGCAACTTCTTCTTCTCTTATATGTCGAAAAGACTGTACTCTTTTCCCATTGTAGAGTTCAGTAACCGTCATTTTTCGTACTTCCCTCCAATATTTGTTGTAGGGAGAAAATACGAGATCTTTAAAACCGTATGTAACTCTTCCAGCATAAGTCATATAAGGTCGCGAACAACAATCTACATCGAATGTCTTTAAGACATCCTTCACTGTCTCTGGAGTTGACGCCACAACTGTAGATACCTTCCCCAACTTTAGGGACATTAGAGATCCGTATTTTTCAGATAATTTGAACATGGAACGATGAGGTTGCGCGCCCAGTTGGTGCAAGTTGCCAATCATAGGAAGCTGCGGTGGTCCAGGAGGTAGATTCATTGCCTTCCTCTTCTTCTTTGCAATGAGTATATATGCAAAGAAGATGAATGTTGCAACAATGACATACAGCAGATTCATTTTGACTTCCTAACAAATCAAATGACAGTTTATGCGAATTTAATCTTCATGTAAAGACATCAAAAAATTAATGTAATAATGTATTTAAATGTCCAAATACATATGACTGGGCTTGAATGACGACTAATGACTACCGTTAGGCTTGCCCAAACCGTATAGTTAGAAAAAAAAACATTTACTTACAAACTATTCTGCCTTCTAAAGAAAACAGTGGAAACTACAGAATCGTGTTAATTTATAAGTAAAACCACCAAAAACTCATAATCTATAGTAAGACAACTCGACTTCTAAACTTATTTGCACGATAAAATATGTTTGCTAGCTGACACAAAAAAAATTCAGCCCTTGTATTTATATTTATAAAAATTTTAAAATATTTTTATAAATGTTTTATATAAATTTATGAGGAATATATATATATATATATATATAATACTTTAATATCTTTGTAATCAATTTTTAATATATATACTAGTTTTATATTTCTACTACGTGCGAGTCTACTTTGATAATTTAAATTCACTTTTGTAATACTTTATAAAAGAAAAATATAGCTGATTGTAATTTATTTTATTTTATTGATTATAATTAAAATATTATTTACTATTTTTCCTACTTGTATTGTAATATAAATTTGTTCTTTTTGACCAGTTAGTACTTAGCTATTATTTGTTTGTATTGTAAAAAACATAAATTACTATTACAAACATATATATATATATATATATATTTATAAAATACATAATTTTGATATTATATAGATTGCTCGATACATATATACACCTATACCATGCTATACACTACTATAAATATTTTACACTATATTTTATTTATTTTTATTTGAATAACATAAAGGATTTATCTATCGGAGATTTTGTAAATATGAATCAAAACAAAAAGTCAAACACAAAAATAACTTTTTTTTTTGAAATTTCCATTTTTCCTATTCACCCTAGATGTTTGAACTACTCAAAAAATGCTATTATTTTATTTAATTTTGTTGAAATTGCTTATTTTGCTCAGTCACCTTCATCTTCCTTTTTTATTTATGACATTACCATTGTCGTCAATACACCAACCAATTTCAAACCCTAAATCCACCTAAAATTAACATCTATATCTTCATATTCATTATTTCTTACACAAGATAGTTCTCTTTCACTTCCTTTTTATTTCATCCCAAAATCTCAACCTTTGATTTCAAAGTTTATAAGTTTATTAGAGTTACTCATGTTCATTATACTTGGTCAAGAACAAGTGGGTAATTTTTATTATGAAGTTATGTGTGCTTGGAAAAAATAAACATGGTTCTCATTGGGTTTAAGAATGATCTTGATTTTTTTTAGATCTGTTTCGTGAAGAAGACTTCTGTGAAAGTCATCTGGTCAATGTATATGTTAGTTTTACAATTGATTTTCTGTATATTTTTAGAGAAAACTTTAGAGAAGACTTCGTTTTATAAGTCTTCTAACTTTTATTTGTTAACAAAAAAAAAATATGTAGACTTTGCTGAAAGTCTTCACGGATAAACATGTTAGTTTTGTAATTAACCAAATTGTGTCAGAAATCCAACAGAAGACTTCTCAACAATTACATGAAGTCTGCTCACTAAAATTTGTAAATTATTTTTTAAAATCTAATACATGAGAAGTTTCTCTTGGAAGACTTTATAGAAGATTTTTTAGAACACTTAATGATTAGGCGGAAAATCTAAATAATATTAAAAATTAAACGGGGAATGGTAAACTTTATTTAGAAATCTTCTAGGAAGTCTTTTAGTGCATAATATTTTATAAGATTCCTGGGAAGTCTTCCAAACCCTATAATCAAATAACTAACTAAATCTCAAATATTTTTTTTTTTAAAGTTAGTATCAACTTATAAGTGTTTAATATATACAAAACTAAACACATATATGTCAAATTCAAATATTTTTTAAAAATGTTAATATTTCAAAATTTATTCCTAAAAGTACAATCATTACTAAAACATATGTTACCTAACCCTAAACCAAAGAATATCATAACTCAATCTATTTTCACTCATATATATGGAAAATTATCAATTTTAATAATTATAAATTTACTTCATTTAAAAATATTTATAGTTACATGATTTCATGTTTTTTCCATCAAAATATTTGATATAAAATTTCTAAATTATTTTAACATCTACGGTAGGAGAATACTTTCATGGAAGTTTGATTTTTTGTATAAAATTTCTAAATTATTTTTAACATCTAGACACATGGTTATAGTGGTAAAGATCAATACTGATACTTTTGTTTGATTATAAAGGGTTACCTGTAATTTCACTAGCATTTTGGGTTAATTTTGCATTTGATTGAAGCTATGGTACACATTTACATTTAAAATCAAGTCTTAGCATAATATTTTTTTTTCCATTTTGAATTTTTTTGCATTGTATATTTTGTATATATTGTATGCACAAATTTTCTTGATTTTTTTTTTGGACATCGACTTACAGGCTCATATTGACTCTGCGAACCAAATTGGTAGCTATGTATCTATATGAACAACGAAAGATGATTGTATTCTGGCACTGCGTGTTAGACTATCCCCCCGTGAGTTCAATGTTCTTGGTACATAGATTACTGCCGAGCTAGTGAAACTCCCTTGAAGCGTCTTGATATCTTGTAGATAGTTTGCAAATGCTGGCCATTCTTCTGGTTCCGAAACCATCTTCATCAAGTGAATACAATCTGTTGCAAAAGTAACATGATATTGACGTAAATTCCTCATACTCTCCATTGCCCAAATAAATGCTTCCACTTCAGAGTGAAGGGGTGATAGACTGGCTCTAACATTTCTTGCTCC